TGCTTATGACAAATAATTGAAAATGAGTAAGCAACTTCAGAACTGGGTGTTGAGGAGAGGCTGGAAAAATTTGAAGGAGCAGGCTAGAAAAAGCCTAATTGCCGGTGCGAGTTTAGAAGAAAAGAAAACCAGAAAAGGTTTGGAATGTTTTAGAGACTGGTTAAATGGTGGAGAACAAAATGCTGATAGAAATATGAACAGTAAAGGCCATTCTGAGAACATCTCAAATGTAAATGAGAAGGAGCTTATGGGAAACTGAGGCAAAGATCACGCTTGCTATGAACTGGCAATGAACATGGCTGCATTCTGTTCATGTCCAAAAGTTTTATGGAACATGGAACTTCAAGGTGCTGATCCAGAGCATTTGTTGAAAGAAATTTATAAGCAGCAAAGCATTAAGGGAGCTGCATGACTACTTCTAACATCCTACACTTGCTTATGGCAGCAAAGGCATGACATAAAGCCAGAATTTAAAAGGGAAGCAGAGTGTAAAGATTTAGAAAATTTTGAGCCTGGCTATGTAGTAGAGAAGCAAGGAGCATTTTCCTGAGAAAAATACAATGGTGCAGCTTAGTGACCATTTGCTAAGGAGATTAGTATAGAAGAAGGGTATTATGAGGAGAAGAGAAAAAAGAACTTGAAGGCATTTCACAGGCTGCCTCTTCCACTATAGGTCCAGAGGCCTAGGGAGACAGAATGGTCATGGGGAACAGACCCGAGGCACTCTCCATGGACCTCAAGAAGCTGCTTCTAGCACCACCACCTCAGCTGCTTTGGCTGCTCTAGTTGTGGCTAAATTGGCCCCAGGTGTGACTGGACCCAGAAAATACAAGCCAGAAGCCTTGGTGGCATCCACATGGTGATAAGTCTGTGGCTCACAGAATGCCAGAGCTATGAAGGCTTGGGAGCCTCTACCCTCATTTTAAAGGATGTATGGAAATGCCTGGGGGCCCAGGAAGAGATCTGTCACAGAGGTGAAGTCACCACAGACAGCCTTCTCTAGTGCAATACTGAGCAGAAACAAAGGGTTGGAGTTGTAGCAGAAAAACCAATATCACCATGCCTAGTGGAGCCATGAGGGTGGGACCGCCACAGAGACCCCAGACCTGTGGAACTACCAGAGTGGAACATCAGCCTTGGAGAGCTGGAGCATGGCCTCAGACCAGGAAAGCCATAGGAACAGGGCTGCCCAAGGATTTGGAGACCCAATCCCTGCACCAGTATGCAGAAGATATCAAACATGGAGTCAAGGTATATGACTCACACTAGCTTTGACATTTAATGCCTGCCCTGCTGGGTTTCAGACTTGTTTAGGATCTGTTACCCTTTTCTTTTGGCCTATCTCTCCCTTTTCAAACAGGAATTTGCACCCTATGTTTGTCCCACCATTGTGTCTTGGGAGTAGATTAGTTGTTTTGATTTCACAGATGGGACATTGAACTTTGGACTTTTGAGTTGAAACAAGTTAAGACTTTGGGGAGGAAATGAATGTATTGGTATGTGAAAAGGACATGAGTTTTGGGGGTCAGTGGCAGAATGCTGTAGATTGGATGCCTCCCAACCTCATTTGAAGCTTAAATCCCCACTGTACCTGTTGGCAGGGGGCAGATCTTATTTTGACAATTGAAAGGTAGGGCCCTGAAGAGGTGATTAGATTGTAGGACCATGCTGCAGTGAATGGATTAATAATCGTGGTCAGGAGTGTGGTTCTCTGGGCTTTAAAAGAAGAGTATGTGAGAATCTCTCTCCACTTTGCCATTTTCTGCCCTGTGAAACCCCTACATTGCTGTAAAGCCACCACCAAAGAAGATCCTCATCAGATGTGTTCCCTGGACTTTGGATTTCCCAGCTTCCAAAACTGTAAGCAATAAATTTTGTTTTCTTTATAAATCATCCACTTCTGGGTATTTTGTTATAAGCAACCTAAATAGACTGATACAAACTACCAGACTACCCACACTTGTTAACAATTTAAAGAATTAGGAATAATCAGTAAATTATTTTATAACTTGCAAAGATTGGGAAGGAAATACAATGTAATATTTATCTCTGAAATACTAAGATGTGCTTTACACCAAATTCACTGGTACTTGGGAATATTCTGCCAAGCTTCTCAGTTTAAAACCAGTTAATTGTCCTCTTTTTAGATTGAAGATAACATAATAGGTAGTAGTCAATCTGTTCTTTTTGTTTTTAACAGTTAAGAGTATCTTAGTCTTTGTTTTATTTTAATTAACCATTTAACTTCTTGGTTGTACTGCTATCTTGAGATCAAAAACCTGCAATTTTACTCTTCATGTTAATAGCAGAAGGAGAATGGAACTCACCAACTACGATACTAAAGGGAATGGCTAGGCATGGGGTTGATTCGAGCTTAAAAGACAAAAACTTTTAGAAGATGAGATAAATAGCGTGACACATTAATGTCCCATTTTTTAAAAATCCCCTAAATGCTCTAACTCCCAGGTCGAAACTCTAATCCCTGGCAATCTATGACTAAACTATCCTATTAGAATAGTTGATGATGTTGTTAGACACGCTTTGAGTTAACCCATCAACTCATACCCAAGTACTTTAGCATTCAAAACCTGCAAAATAAATTGCTCCAAAAATAAATTGTCATTTTGTCATTTGTTTGACACCTTCAAAAACGCCTTGGAAAGGGGAATTTAAAAAGAAAAAAAAACTGCTTTATTCCAGAGAGATGAAAGTGGGTGGGGTGGGGAAAGTGTAATAAAAAGATCTTGAATCATGCGTAGGGGAAATTAGTGTTTCCAGTAAAACTGTTTACAAAAATTTATAAAGGCTTGCAAAGAAACATCGTGCTGTGCTGAATTAATTCCCACTCTGTAGTACTATGGAAGGTTTGACTTCAAGGTCCATAGACAAATTGTCAGGTCTTTCAACAATGCTTTTACAGTATTCCTTTCTCAGAAGGGAGCTAAACGTTTTCACAGAAGGGCACAGGAAGGCTTCAAAAACCACTGTTTTTGCGGGGTGTAGTAGTAACCCATCCCCCTCAACTGCAGCCCATGGCTTGTCCCACTTTGGGAAGTCTCGGAGTGGAAAAGTGGTCTTTATATTAGGTCGTGAGATGGTGTTGCAGATGGAGGGGGGTTTGCATGAACAAGATATCAGCAAGTGTTAGGTTTGATGCCTAGGATTGGGGTACGCCTCCTAGCTGAGATAGAAATGCGGAAGGTTAGGTGACAATACTGCTTCCCCCTTGGGTAATTCTCAGGATGGTGGTATCATTTCAGAGTTGCTAAACGCTAAGGAGTTCAGAGAGGGAAGGGTAAAAGGTCAGGGGACGGCAGAGGACAGAGAGAAAACAGATCAGGAGGGTTAGAAAGGGTGCAAAGCTAGAACACAGGAATGAGGATTCCAGGACAGAGGCACAGACTCACTGCAGCACCGAGCCCGCCGGGCAGCCAGAGGCGACTCCCAGAGCCTCATCAGCCACCCCGCCGTCCGGGCTGGGGGCAACCTCCTCCGCCGAGCACGACAGCACCTGCCTTCTTGGGCGGTCTAACAACTCTCAGTTTCCCTTTTGCTGCAGAAGTGGCGGCCGCAAAGGGTGCTCAGCCTCCACACCCACCGCCTCCATCCCCGCCCACCCACACCTCCTGTGCGTCCCGCTGCACCCGCAGGCGGCAGCCCCCTCGGAGCGCGCCACCCCAGCTACGTTGCATTTGTAAGGTTTGGAGGCTGGGAGGCAGCAGCCACTTGCTGCCCAACCGCTGGGACTTCGGGTGCCACTGCGGCCCCCGGCTGAGCTCGGGGTGTCAGGGAGGCCGCGGAGAGCCATGATCTACTGCACCGCAGTGCCAGCGTCAGGAACCTCCAGCGCCCGGGCTGCCACTGCGGGACGGCCGGTTCCCCCGCCCCCTCCTCCCAACGCAGCCCCAGACACAAGCACCCGGTCGCGGGTCCCTCTCCACGCTGAACCCAGCTACACACCCCCGGCTGCCAGCGTGCGCGGTTCCGGGCAAGGCTGCGCCCAGCCTCTACGCCGGCGCCGCCGCCGCCACCACGCAGCCCTCCGGCCTTGCCTCCCACGGTTGCTCGCCCACAGCTCCGAGGGCCACCCCCAAACGTCTCAGACTGAGACTCCGGGAAGTGAACCCCTGGGACCCGACTCCCCGAATCACCTGCATTTGCATTTCTTATATAATGCACTGCAAGTTTCCCTGGCCCTTTGGAATCGGGGCGCATGATCACCAGGAGGCTTGAAGCGGGGAACCACCGCCCGGCTCATCCCCCCACGGGACCCGGACGCAGGGTTTTAATACTGCTTTTTAAAGGGAGGACTTAAATTACATGTATTAGAGGGGCCGGGTTTGTCTTCTCAGTCTGGGGTTCCCTCCAGGCATAAGCCCTGCTCAAGTGCTCCCGGTGGCAGGATGTGTCGGAGGCAGACAGGGCGACTGAGTTAATACTCAGGCTCCGAGAGCTACAGAGATAGACGGGGGAGGTAGGCGGGGGCCGACGGAGGAGCGGGGCCGCGAGGGAGGGGGCGTCTCTTACTTCGGTAAAGGTGATCGGGGTGGCGAATGTTGTGCAAGCTAATCAGAAAGTCTAGAGCAGGTTCTCGGCACCGACCTATGTCCCCGAACCTGCAGCAGAAGTAAGGAGAGAGCTCACGGTTCTTTTTTCCTGGCAACTACAGAAGCTTCAGCTGCCTTGGGCACAACCTCAAGCCATAGCCCTTCAATGTGCCTCCAAACATAGGCAACTAAATACATTTTTTAAAAAGTTTCCTCCTCCCTCCTAGCGATGGATTGTGTCACAGCCAAGAGATGCTGATAATGGTTTTCGGGCTCGCAGACGCGCATCCAGCTGTTACTTGTTTATTCATGCAACACCTCTATATGCAACACTGTCCTGATTCCTCGCATGTTTCCCCTGCCTTCCTGCATAGCAGAACTGCAGACCTAGCTCGATGAGCAACAGACAGGTTATAATGAGGAAAAACATAACACGATGCATGTTTTGCTTACCAGTTGGGTTCTTGTTTTTCTTAAGACTCTTGCCACAAAGACACTGCAGCATATGCGTTCCTTTGCTGAAAATGTTCCAAAGAAACCACATTGATTTGGGCGAAAAGCAATCCAGCAGCTTAGACACCCTGAGAAAGAAGAGATCCTTGTGGTTGCATAATAATAATTTGAAATCAGTTCTCCTGAAGAGGGGCACCGGTTTTACCATAGGAAAAACGATAATATTCCGGATCTTCTCCCAGTGTTCTCCCCTCACGTGGTATATTTCTTTGAGACTTCTCAGTGATTGTTTTTTTTCGGCCAGGGTGAATGATTTATTCCCCCCTCGATCACCACCGGCTTATTACCGAAGGCTTGGGAAAAAAATCCTTTTTCAATACGAAGCCAAACAAAAAAGCAAAGAAATCCCAAGTGAGATCAAAACTAATCAGGGAGAACAGTAATGCACAAAAGATCCCCAAAGAGAAAACCATAGCCTTTTACTTGATCGCTATGAGGATGGGTGGATCTGCAGAAGGCAAAGCAGGATTCATCTTACTGAGAGAGGACTGCCATTGTGTAGTCCCTAGGAGAGAAAGAAAAAAAAAGGGAAAGAAAGAAAAAAAAAAGAAAGAAAGAAAAAGAAAAGAAAAGAAAAAAACACGAGCACACACACTCACACACCAATACCACCTCCGAGATTGAGTCTGACAGCAGAAGACAGAGCCTCCCTTCTCCCAGTGTCGATTTTTTTAAATAATCAATCGCCAGGGCTCAGTGGGATCGGATTGAACCTGCAGTTCTCAATCACCACGAAGAAAAGATGCAGATCTAGCTGCCCCCTCCGCTTGTCAGTCCTGTAGTAGGCAGAGAGCGCCACAAACCCCCTGCCTCCTTCCTTTCGCTCTTCCCGTTTCCAGCAATCGTGAGCATGAGGAAAATCTCCCCTCCGGATTCCTCGCCCAGCCTCGGATGTGAGTTACAGGCATTAGAGGGAGGAGCAGGAGGTGTTGAAGTTTGCATTGAAAAGACTGGCTTTCCATGACGTAGCCACGTGCTCTCAGACCCGTCACCAGTGAGATGCTTCAACCAGCCCGGGGAGGGCAGTGTCACTGCAGTCCCTGCTAGTGTCCCTGCTAGTGTCCCTCCACATGCCGCCCCAGCCCCAAGCCCAGCCCAGCCGCGACCCTCTCCCTCCTGCTCCCGAGCAGAAGCCGGCCTGCTCCAGCAGCCTTCTGTGAAAAGTGAATTTTAGAAAGGAAAATTAACAAGGGTAATGACTCAACCTTAGAAAATACATGGGGGGGGGGGGCGGGGAAAAGAAATGAGTTCAATACCACTCCATACCAACACCACTCCAAAGGGCCGAAAGTAGTTCGACCTTTTCATTTTCAAAGGCGGCGTGTAAAGGATCTAAACCATTCAGGAAAACTTAAGTTCTTTTAATCCTTATGATTTAAATCCTACTTCAAGTACTGTTGGGAAAATTTAAACTATGCATATGACAAATATGTAATTCCAATAACAGCCTGTTAAAAAGGGCAAGTGGTAAAATCTCTGTAGCAAACTCTTATTTTCGTGGGAAGGGTCATATGCACATGAGAGATTTTACCCCTTTTCTAGGCAGACAACACATTATCTTTACTTTTTTGTGTAAAAAGCATCCTGCTTCAATCACACTGTAATTTGTTGCTTATTTCTGCACCTATTCATTGAACATTAAATTCACCCTCATGTACTTCTCATCTGTGCATATCACCTGCACTATAATCTAAACCTAACAAAACAGGCAAATTTTGTGTTTTCTTCAAGATATAACCCAGCTTCTTACTTTCTCAGAAAATCAAAGGATTTAGGGCAGAGCCACTGATATTTTATTTTATTTGGGGAAAAAAATACAATATACAAACTAGTACAAACTATTACAAGGAACAATATAGCAAACTCCAGTGTAACCACTACTCAAAATTCATAAAAATTAGCATTTCATCCTATTTGTGGGCTGGCAATTTTGGAAAAGGAGAATTGACCACTCTCACTCTCTTCAGGCAAGTGAATTAAACTTATGCTAGCTTATTTCCATTTTTACAGGAAAACTGACATAAAGATTTTAACTCTAATTTAAAAATATATGTTTTGAAGTTTCATCTTAATTTTACAAAATTAAAACTACAGCCTCTACTGCATAGTATATTAAACTATTTTATAAGCAGTAGATGTATATTTATGTCATTGAGGATTGATGGAAGAGCCTGATTTTAGAGAAAATTAACTCTTTGGTTATCATTTGTCAAAAAATGAAAATGTAATAAACAACTTCCCCATTCCTAGAATTTTCCAATAGTTGAGGCATTTTGAGATGCTGAAATTTGCATCTAATATTCTAACCTTCTGAGGAACGTCAGTCAATTTTAGGTAAGATAGAAGAATTTAAAACAAGTAAATTCTATTAAAATTAAATAGGAATGGCCTCTGTGTGTCAAAAGAATCATGTCACACTGCTTAAAGAAATTTGTAAGATTAACTTCAGTCTAAAAAGTTTGGGAAGTAAAGAAAGAAGGAATACTAAAAGTACTTGAATTTAATGTTAAATGACTTACTAAGAAGTAGCAGAATGGGAGGAGAAAAGAGTCGTATTCTTTTTGGAAAGAGGAAAAATGGGATAGCATTGCCAAATAATTAGGAAATGATTTTTAATGTCAATCAGGAACAGATACCATATGCTGCTTCTATAACATTCTGGTGTCCTCTAGGGGGTTACAGAATATCCCAATATATTACTACTGGGCAAATATCAGATAAACAGTTGAATAAAAAATATTTTTCCATCAAGGTCTTCTAAACTCATTAGGCTCTAAGTTTCTGTAAAAGTTGCCTGAAATCCTGGGGGTGTTTTGCAAGTAGAATAAAATTGGGGGAGATGTTCTGAAATTATTGGATTTTTTTATATGCTGTTTGTATAGAGAATTTCTCAAACCAGTTCTTCTTGAATTTCCCAATTCTACTCTCTTCACTACATTGTGACAGTGAATTTGTTCCCTATTAAAATAAAGGATGACTGCCAGAAAACTATGGTTTCCTTTGCTACATATTGGTGGAAAATATGTTACTTCTTTGTCCTGTGACCTAAGGAGCAACATAAAACAAACTGTAATTTAAACTGTGACTACTGTTTACTGAGAATATACTATGTCAGGCACTGTTAGCTCTTTTCATATTTTATGCTATTTAAAGGAAGAAAAAAATCATTTTTTTCAATGTATAAAATTTTTACATTTCTACATTTCCTTCCTATATTTAATGATACATTATTTACTCATGTTTCATAGGGTATCATTCACATTATTAAACAAACAACCAAAAAAGTAATTACTTTTGTCTGGAAAAGATGAATAATACCGGTGTAGGTTACTTTTGGTCCAAGGGACCTACAATTTCTCATGGGCTCTGAGTGGCCTAATTCAATCGTTCGACCAATTTTTATTGAGCATCTACTATGTGAAAGTAACTGTATAAAACTCCATGTTGGACACTAAGTCATGAAACTGCACCAGCTTTCCAGTTACACAATAAAGACCACAGTGGTCCAAGAGTTAGCCCAGATTTCTGTGGACCTCCAGATCAGAGATGATCTAAAGATACTTATTACTCTTACCTGAGTTCCAAACCATTATTTAAGTTTTGTTTTGAAGGATGTAAAATATTTGCTTACCTTTTGTCATGCTACATTCAAATCAATACCAGATGACAAAAATTAAAACTATTAGAAAGGAAATACAAGCTTCAAAATGCATATAGGTAAAAACAAGATAAGGGAAACCTCATTGAAACTGTAAGAATAGACAGTAAAATCTGTAATGCATATGTAGAAAAAAATCTGTGACTGTTTTCATAAGCCTACAGTAAAAATAAAACCAGAACTCATAATCAAGTTTATTTAAAAGTTAAACTTCAGTATATTATAATAAACAAGACTAAAATACTGTAGTGATCAGCTTTTCATGGCACAATAATGTATAAATTTTATTTTAATATAGGACATGTGAACTTTCATGAGATTAGTCACCAAAAATCTGTAAAACTATCTCAGCATGCTTTTTCTATTTGTTCCCAGTCGTTCATCTATTTCACTCTTCCTTTTAGTAATAAATCCTCATCTCTATTGCAGTTTTAGAAGGGCACGTGGATACCCAGATGAAGAATGTAGTTCCCAGCCTCCATTACAATTATGTATGGTCATGTGACTAGATTCTGACCAATGAGATGTGAACGGAAGTGACATGTTCAACTTCCTGGTCACATTCTTCAAAGGGAGTGGCTTACCTTCCACTTGTCTCTTTCCTCTTCCCTGTGAGCTGGAAGGTAATGGCATAAGCAGCTTTGACAGCAGGGATAGGAAAACACACCAAGAATGGTGCAGTATCAAAGGAGAAGAAATCCAGGACCTTGGAGAGAGCCACCAACCTGTCCTGGACTGCCCACCTGCCTTCACACTGAGAAGAAAGCTTATATTTTATTTCAGCCTGACTTCGTTTGTTCACACTACTATAACAAAACACCATAAACTGGGTAAATTACAAACAACAGAAATTTATTTCTCACAGTTCTGGAGGCTGGAAGTCCAAAATCAAGACACTGTCAGTGTCTGGTGAGAGCCCATTACCCTCACAGATGGCACCTTCTTGCTCTGTCTTCACATTTTGAAAGGGGCCAACAAACTCCCGTCAGCCCCTTTTATAAAAACACTAATCCCTTTCATGAGGGGATATGCCCTCACAATCTAATTACTCCCAAAGACCTCACCTCTTAAGGCTATCACATAGTTTTCAACCTATGAATTTGGGGGGACACAAACATTTGGACCATGGCAGAGTCACTCTGTTTTTGTGTGAGTTTGTTATAGCAGCTTAACCTCCCTGCTATCTTATGGACTGGGCTTGTGTTAATAACGGCACACATAATATACAACCTATGACTTTATCCACAGTCTGCCACTCCTTTCCGTTCACCGTAGGAGCTATTTATCTTTTAGCTGCCTCTCGCAAACCATCCTTGCTTATCCTCACTACCAGAGCAAACACCACACTATCAGGTCGTACTTCCCCTCTCGCCTTCTCTGCCCTACTCTTTGCCCATCAGATGTAACCTATGGCAGTTTAGAGCTTATAACCATCACAATAAATCTTTGATCACTCAAAGAAGACAGAGAGCAAAGTGTTTGAAAGAGCTGGTCATAAAGGGACTAGAGATAGAAAAAGAAGACCCATGTATACACAACGACTTCAGTGTCTATACTTACCTTGTAAACCTCTTTCGAAAAGATGGAGCCTTTTGTTGTTTGCACACTTATTTCTTCTACATTGTTGGTGTTAAGAATTATTACTACTTTTTAAGAAATAATTCTAAATTTCACATTACTGTGCTCATTAGTACCCTGTTCTTCCTCTCCCCGTGTTCCTACATTGATCTACAGCATAGAAAACCTCTGCTCCTCTCTCCTGGAGGGAACAATCTGGATGGTAACTTCAGTCCTTATCTGCCCCCTCCCAACTGCTCAATGAAGGAGGAATGACTCAAGTGGCCCAGCCCCTTCTTGTCTCTTTATCTTTGTGATCTGCCTGCCTGAA